TATAAAAGAGTTCAGTATAGATAAACTTCCTCTTTTCATGTTGCCCTGTTCTACTTGGCCACTGGCTGGAAAAATCAGCACTCCTAAGCTAGACACCCCCTTACTAGTTTTTCACAAAATATGTAAACAAGGCCTCTGGCCTTGAGCTGGGGCTTTACAGAGATGGCTACATTTCTAAGATACAAAAGTTATCAACTGGGCTCCATGGTAACAGCTGGCAGGAAAAAAAAAATTCTCCCCCTCCCAGGTGTCCTTAAAAAGTTAACTTGCCCAGAACAACAACAACAAAAAACTACTTTTTGTAAACTTCTGCAGACTGTAAACTTCTGAGCCCCTTCTCTTACATGTTAAGTACAAAATTCTGAAACTACCTAAACTTGGGGTTTAGGGAATTAATTGATTACAACAGAAACAATGCCCTCTAAATCCGGTTGCAACCAAATAAGACTGTTTCCCTGTCTTCAGTGCTATCTTAGGTGCCTTGCGTTGTCCGTCCCTACAACAGTATAATTCTATATACTTAAACATTATTCATGTTTTCATAAAATGGTCAACAGATGTAATTAATTGTATAATGGTGCAGATGTTTCCCAGAGTGCTCTATCATGATACAGGTTCATTTAAAGATCAAATAGGGGGACATACAACCCAGTTTCGCCGGAAACCTGTATCCCTCACTTTAGCCATCTTATTAGGAATGGGAATTGCTGCAGGGGTGGGCACAAAAACCACTGCCCTGGTCCGTGGGACACAACAAATGACCCAATTAAAAACAGCAATGGACCAAAACTTAAAGATATTAGAAACCTCCATCACAACTTTGCAAAAATCTTTAACCTCTCTCTTTAAAGTTGTTTTACAGAATAGGTGAGAGTTGGACCTCCTCTTCATGAGAGAAGAGGGCCTTTGTGCTACATTGAGGAAAAAATGTTGTTTTTATGCCGACCATACTGGAGTTGTAAAAAAATCTATGAGTAAATTAAAAAGACGCCTTAAAGAGCGTCAGCGAGAGAGAGAACCCAAAAAGAGTGGTATAAATCTTGGTTCACACAGTCCCCCTGGTTAACTACGCTTTTATCAGCCCTGGCCGGTCCTTTAATAATTCTTATATTGTTGCTAACTCTAGGACCCTGTTTGCTCAACCGTGTAGTTTCCTTTCTGTAAGCCCAAAATTAGACAAGTCAAACTTATGGTAATCAGACAACAATATACCCCACTAACAGACATAAAATGTGACACCCCCCAATGATCACTTTTATGATTAAAAGTAGCCAGAAGAAGAAGTGAAAAATGAAAGGTTAATAAAATAGGTACTTGTCACTCCGTTTTTTCTATATGCTTAACAAAACACTGTTGAAATCTTAAGAACTGTTTGCTAATCTTGTTCCCAGAATGTGCTGTCCCCAACTATAAACTGTTTGTTAATCTTGTTCCCAGAATGAGCTGTCCCCAACTGCCAAACTACAAAATGTAACTTCTCTCCTTGCCCTCTCCAAGGAAAGTATATAAGCTCTGCTTAAGGTGTTCTCAGGGCTCTATCTCTCTTTATTCTAAATTGCTGAGATTACCGATGTGCACCACCACACCTGGCCTGTTTTTTTCTGAGCCCCAACATACTGGTCCCCAAATAAACCCTTTGCTGTTACATGAGGCAGTCTCTTGGTGGTCTCTTCCTCCGACGTTTCGCCGGTCCCTTACACTTTGAGGTTAGGAAGAATCCCTGTAGAACCTATCTGGGCTTCTTTTTTTAAATATTTATTTTTTAGTTATAGGTGGACACAATATCTTTATTTTATTTTTATGTGGTGCTGAGGATCTGACCTAGTGCCTCATGCATGCTAGGCAAGGAATATCTGGGCCTCTTTTGAGGCTGGAAAATGAGAGGGAGTGGTTTTTGGTAAGTATTTCTTCTATGTTTCTTGGCTGGGTTTGGTTTTCTCTTTTATCCGAAGTTTTGGGAAAATTTATTTTACCAAATGGGAAATGAATATATATGTATGAACATATTGAATATATTCAATAGTAAAATGAATACATATTAAGAATGTAATATATATTATTCATTTTATTTAAATTTTCAAAATACACAGAATTGAAAAAGTAGATTGTTCATTATTTTAATTTCTTTTGTATTTGTAGATAATTCTTTTTTAATATTTATTTTTTAGTTGTGTTGGACACAATACCTTTATTTATTTACTTTTATGTGGTGCTGAGGATTGAACTTAGGGCCTCACACACGCTAGGCAAGAGCTCTACCACTGAGCCACAACCCTAGCCCCCAATAATTACTTAATTTTTACATTTCTTTTCCCCCTTAATTAGGTTAATTCATAATTTTTTCAAAAAACAATCTCTTAGGCTTATTTGTTCTACCATGTTTAAAATTTTCTAACTTAAGTTTTCACTTCTGTTTTTCTCCTTTCTTCTCTCTTCAGTCCTATATTAACTTTTCCCCTCATTCTTACCACCTTTTGTTGGTTTTATAATTTCAACATCATTAGAGTTTGTAATATTTGCATTGTGTTCTAAAAACATACTCCTCATATTTATTTTATTGAAGGCTCTTGCTATAATTTTTCTGTTCCTTTCTTGCTTGGCAGACGTTTTTTATCAATATATCTTTTTCAAGAAAAGTTAATGAGAAAATTTGATGAGTTCTTACTTTTTTTTCTGGTACCAGGGATTGAACCCAGAGCTTTGTGCCTGTGGGGGCTCTATGAACCCAGGGGTGCTTGACTGCTGAGCCACATCCCCAGTCCTTTTTATTTTATTTTATTTTTTTTTTAAGTTTGAGACAGGGTGTCACTAAGATGCTGAGGTTCTTGAATTGTCAAGAGCAACCTCTGCAGGTGCTAGGAAACTGAGACCACCAAATTCTAGCCTTGAATTTGCCATCCTTCTGCCTCAGCCTCCCAAATTGCTGAGATTACCGATGTGCACCACCACACCTGGCCTGTTTTTTCTATTATTTTAGCTGCCTCAACTTTTAGAAAATTGTTCCATCAAGTGTGTGATGCCCAATTCTAATTCATGATATATTGAACCCTTGATTTTGAGTTTACTTTTATATATGTCCTAAGGTATTTAAATGTATTTCCAAATTGTTATTTAGTCATCTGAATATTACTTATTCAACATTTCCCCCCATTATTTTGAACATGGTGGCATAAAAAGACTGGGCTTTTGGACAGAATAGATGTGGGTGAAATTCTGACTCTGGATATCATTCCCCTTCTGGTTTTAGGATAACCTCTTCCCAAAAAAGAAGCTGGACTGTACTCCTGTGCTTTGTCTCTGGTGTTAGGAAGGTAGCACAGCATCCTAGAAGAGACTGAAACTTCCATACTAGCCCTGTGTTCCCACCACCCTCAAGTCAGTCCCAAGTCTGAGGACCTGGACCTTTGTGCCAGGTATGTAGAGAGCCTGTCAAATGTCTGCCTTGCTGAGAGTCTGGGTGGCATAGGGCAGTGGGACCTGTGTTAGAACCAGAATGCAGCTATGGCTGAGCGGGGACCTTTGCTGGAGCTGTAGGTAGGCACACATGCAATCGCCAGTTTAACCAAACAGAAAAGAACAACAATACTCAGTGCCTCCAGGAAGAGAAGCAAGGCAAAGGTGCTAACCGTCTCCCTGCACGTCTGCCATGCTGTGAGGGAAGAAGTCTGCCAACTTTGTGAATAGGTCTGGACAGGTCACTGTCATTCTTGATTGTGTTCTGCTCTATAACCAAACGCCATTGACCACTTGCAGTATGCTGTGTGTCCCCACATCTTCCCACCATGCCTGTGTCAAGAGCATCCTCTGTAGGTACTAGGAAACTGACACCATCAGGACCCAGTGGCCTGCCTTTTGCTGTTTCTGGCTAGATCAAGATCAAATACCTACTGAGTTTGTGATCCTCAATTGGCCCACAAATGGCAGTAGCAAACTTGTAGAGTCAGCCTGGGCTGGGGTTCTTTCTGTCTATACAAAGTGAAATAGATTCTAAGGCTGTATATAAATACTACGTTTTACGTAAAATAATTCAGCATTTGTGGAAGACTTTTTTTTAGGTGCTGGGGATTGAACTCAGGGTTACTTTACCTCTAAGCTATATCCGCAGTCCTTTTCATCTTTTATTTTGAAACAAGGCCTCACTAAGTTGCCAAAGCTATGCAACTTGCAATCCTCCTCCCTCAGCCTCTTGAGTTGCCAGGATTGCAGTCATTGCCCAGCCTCAGGAAGACTCTTGGTGTACTGGTGTAGAATCCAGGGCCTCACATGTGCTAGGCAAGTGTTCTACCACTGAACTACAAGCCTAGCCCACAAAGAAGTTTTATTTTATTTAAATTGTGAAGATAATTTCCCATTTGAGAAAAAGAAATATGACATTTAGGTTAAATTGTCCTTTAATTGCTCATTTAGTTTAAGATAAATTATTCTTGTTAATGGAGCAGAAATTGGCCTTAATCAAAGGCATAGTGGAAAGTTTTTCTGTCTGTCAGTCTCCTTTTTTGAAGATAATAGCTCTAATTTATTTTTAAAGTAAAAACACAATTTACCAGTTCAACCCAGAGGCTCTATAATTTACTTACTCTTCCTTATACACTCAGCCTTGGTTACCACTCACGAGTGTTCACACTTGACCTTTCCGACCGCTATGTCAAAAGTCTCATTAATGGATCTGAACAAAGCTGTCCAAGCTAAAACTGATCCAGGAACAA